TTCCTTTAAATAAACTAATGGGGTAAAACATTAGTTCTGACATGCAACATGCAGGTATTATTAGGGTTTAAAATACTACACTATACATCATCAATAAAAATAATCCCAACACTTGCATCAAACAAATACCTGATGGATGGATGTCCTCGCTCAGCGTCTCTTCAGGTTCACAGCTCTGTTTGGGAATCTCTTGGTTCATGATCTCTACAGCAACCTGTTCCACTCTGAAACACAAACATTCGGTAAGCAGGGATTCAAAGGAACATCTCCTTTGGGCATTAAGTGGACTCACTCTGACTGAGCTGGAGGTCTGTTACTGTGATGAGGTTTGGCCTTCATAGCGTCGGCACACTGAGTGATCAGACACTGCCAGCTGGATGAACACAGGTGACCCATAACCAGGTGAGACGGACAAACTTAGAAGATGAGGTTTTGTTTTGGTGGAAAACTCACGTTCTTCTGTCGGATACTGTCTGAGCCCTCAGCTCGTACATCTGGACCCCGTTCTCCGACATGGAGAGGACGAAGAAGGCCTTGTTTTCTGAAGATGACAGGCAGTCCGCTTATTTTCTTCTTGAAATTGTTACATTTTAATTTAAAGGAAAAAACTGTGCAACCTGTAATCATTTGGCCAATTACACATATGAATTCTGCTTTTTGTGACTAACTTATGTTTTAATATTGAGAGCCTGATTTTTTTTATTTTTTTTACCTGTGTCCCATTTGGTCATTAACACAGGAAAATAAAATAAAAGATTTTTAATTATAAAGCAATAATTAATAAAAAACAAAAAATTATAATTTTATCATCTTGAGATGACTTGTGTTGTGAATTGGCGCTATAGAAATAAACTGAATTGAATTGAATTAGTAACTAAATTCTGTAGAAATTTACTCCCTCTGGCATCCTCTAGGGGGTGCTGCAGATTCATCTGAAGCATGGATTCTAGAAACCTTGGTTCTAAGTTTAACATGACATAAAAAGTATAAAATAATAATCCAAGTGAAAGGTATTTAGAGGACAGACAGTCTTACCAGTGGCGACAGGGCGAACCAGGACGGTGCTGAGTTTGATGACGGGGCTGAAGCTGTGCTTGGCATCTTGAACGCTGCTCATGTTTTTACCGTGAAACTTAAGAACCAGACGCTCATCCTGTTTCTGAAGTAAAACCATGATGTCCTTCAAGAGAAGTGTGTACAGCTCTGAAAACAAGTCATAAGACAAATCCCAACTCATTAAAAAATAAAAATAAAGCTTTAACTGTTTTTTAAAGGACTTTTCACAATTAAATACATATGTTTACCAATGGTTTTGTCTTTATTGACTTTCCAGGTTAGGGGACCCTCGTGTACCATCTCTCTCTTCGTCAGATCCAGATTCTAGTAG